CCGCTAGCAGCCCAATCACCCACCCATGGCAAGAGCCCGAGTCAGCGCCAGAGCCAGAGCCAGAGCCAGAGCCGGAGCCGGAGTCAGAGTCGGAGCGGCAGTAGTAGTGGTAGTGCCAGAGCCGAAGACCGTGCCGTAGTCCGTGCCATCCTGGCGGGCTGGTGGTAGGCTTTATTATGTCAGCCCAACGAGAGGGCGAGAGCGCATTTCACCCAATTTCATTATATTTGCCAACGTTTTTAGCTTTTATACGTCATGGCATATTTCACCACACACACTCGCATAGAATCCACCACCGAGCCACCCCAGGCCACTCCAGCGCTTGCGATTCGTTTCGATTCGGCACAGGCTCGGAGTCGGGGTCGCTTGTGGAGGTTAGTGCTCGGGCTTGGGTTCGGTTATAAAAGCCGGTTCGAGTCGCTCGCTCGATTCTAGTGCGCAGGGTCGACACACACACACACACACACGCAGACACATACATGCACACCCACATACAGATGTGTGGGTGGCGGGGTGGTTGTCTGTGGATGTGTAGGTGGTTTTTGGCTGCCAACCCATAATAATATTATTATAATGTCAGGCATAAAGTACGAGAGCAAGAGACGCAGAGGACAAACAGGATACGGCAAGCCGGGTGGTGTAGGCAAGGGGGTCGTGGCAAACCCGTGGGCGTTAGAGCTCTGGCGGCTAACATACACACACATACATACATATCTATACATACATATACATACATACATATATACTTTTATATGTATATACATATACATTTGTACGTGTTGTATGTGCGAAATAAGGTTATTTTATAAACAGTTCGGAGTGTTGGGGGTTGTCTATCTCTATCCTTCTCTCCCCTTTGCGCTCGCTCTTGATGGCTGCTCTGAACAGTGTGCGTGAGTGTGTGTGTGTGCGGACAGCTTTTGGTGTAGCGGGAGTCAACGTCGCAGTCATAGTCATGGCTGGGCGCCCTCCTAGTGGGCGGTTATGGTTAAAGCGACAGTTGTTGTTGTTGTTGTTTTTGTTGCTGTGCTTTACTTTATTGAATGTGGATTCGAACGGGGGGAAATTCGGCGCTGTATTGTAGCGTAGTACCGTTAAAGGAATGGAAACGGTCACGTTGACGATGATACGCCGATTTAAGGAACAGAAGGATTGAAAGCTTGTCTGTCAAAGTTTCGAACCTTTTTGGTGAGGATCGAGGTAGATTTATCGGGTGTATGGGTGAACCGTAATAAGCTGGGAAAATTATTATTCAAGTATATTTTTGTACAAATATGAATGCTAATGTAGAAGGTAAATATTGTTAGTATTGATCAACTGATACTTTGTATGATCTGATCACCACGTTATCTTCATATAATGTAATCACTTATTACCTACATACATTATGGCTTACAAAATAAATAGATACATATCTTAGTATAAATTTAGAAGATCGCTTTGATTCGCAAACATCTATGTACATATAGAGCAAATAACATGAAGTTAGTTTTTCTCATTCAAAAATAAGTCAATTTACGCGCGCTGCTCCTCAATAATAATCCACCACAGAGGCAACCTTTGGCAAATCAGCAAACATGCGAGGCCAGCATACGACAAGCATATGCACATACAAACAAATAACATTCACGTATACACACATGCATAGATACATGTATGTGTATATGTATGCATGATTACGAATGCCAATGCGAGTACTCGAGCTCACCAGCGATGCGAACGAGGAGCAGAGCATTCACAGCAAAGCGCACCCTCAAATAAAAGTCTGACCAACCGTTTTTGCCATTCTAAGCGAAATGCACTAGAAAACGGTGTTTGCTGCTACTGCTACGGCTGGTGCTTCTTCTTCTTCTTCTTTTGCGCTTTAAAGTGTTTTCGAAACCTAAAAGCAGCAACAACGACAATTTGAAACAAAAATCGGAACGCAACACTGCCAAGTCAGTCGCACAGGCAGTCGCCGTTGCTGTTGTCGTTGTCGTTGCTGTTGTCGTTGCCGCCATCATTTATTTTTCGTCGTTGTCGTTGTTGTTGCCTCTTTTTCTGCTACGTACTACAAAATTAAACTCGAGTCTCGGAACGAACGTTCGTTCGCTCGTTTGAACGGGCAACGTTGCGATATTACGTCCCTCGCTATCAACAGCAACAGCAGCAGTAGTATATACACACGTACACACATACAAGCGCACACACATCCACACAAACAGACACGAATACAGCGCTGTGTTGTTGTTCCATCATCATTATTTACCAGCAGCAGCAGCGTCGCTGTCGCTGCTTTGTTGTTTTTACCCTCACTCACTCGCATACAGAAACTCGCACACGCACGCATACACGCTCACTCTTCTTCTTCTGCCACTCGGCAGCTCTCCTCGCTCTCCGTTTCGACCCACACTTTATTTTTAACTGTGCGACTGTACTCGCTCGCTCGCTCTCGCTGTATGGCTGCGCATGTATGTATGTGTATGTGTTTGTGTGTATTTTTATATGGCATTCTCTCATTCCACACTGACGCCGAGTCAGCATTGCGCGGCCCGGCTGCGATGTGGAAATTGTGTGTAGAGCGACGTCAACGTTGTTGTTGCTGCTGTTGTTAGCTGACTGGCCGGGCCTGGCTGTATATTTCTGTGTGCACACATACATACAGACACACTCGCACACGCATACATATTAACAGACATTTTTTCAATAGTATTTGTTGTTGTATTTTTGTGTTTACCAAGCGGGCCGCTGCGAGCGGCTTGGTGAACGTACGCCTTGATAGCTTTGGCTGTTGCTGTTGTTGTTTGTGGCACTGGCACGGCCGCGTTTCATAGCCGCTGTGCAATTTGCGCAGTGTACGAAAATGACGATGACGATTGTTAACGGCAATTGTCGTTTTTTTCGTTCTGTGTGCCGTGCTGTTTTTTTTCGGCCAGCCCTGGTTCGCAGCGATTCGCGCACTTGGCGCTGCTCGATGTTGATTCGCATTTGTCTTATCAGCTGCTCGTGATAAGCGACAGCAGCAGCAACTACAATCGCCGTTAGCTTTTCACGCTCACACCAATTTGCATGCTGATGTACTGATACGTGATACGGTGATCATTGCGCTTAGCTGTTCGGCTATCAGTCAGGTAGTCAAGCAGGCAGTCACTCAATCAGTCAATCAGCCAGTTAGTAAAGCGAGATCCTCAGGGCTGGGGCAAATTAGCAGAGTAATGACGTAATGTGCTGTTGCTGTTGTTGTCGATTGATAAACAGTTGTCAATGGGGAAGGATAGAACAAAACAGTTGTCGGTGGATAGATAGATATTAAAGTTAGAAAGAAAGGTTAACCATTACAGAGGTACATATGTATGTATGTACATACATATATTGTATATGCTCAGACAGCCATACTTAATATATAAATAAGTATAATTTAACCATTTTCAGATACTTTATACCACGCAAAGAATTATTTTTTACTAAAATCAAACAAATAGATATTTTCCCATCAACTCTAATCCGTTTCTTATTAGGTGACCTCTACAGGTTGATTTCAATTCGATTTGATGTCCCGCAGCCCCTCAGCACAATCGATACATCTATCTTTATTCCCAACTCTCGGAAAAAGTGTCAGTTAGTTGCAGTTTTGATCGATCGTCCGCAGGTAGAGCTAGAGCTCGGTGGCCGAACCCAGAACCCTGATGCCATAGCGTGGCTAATGCGCTGCATCCTTTGTAGGGATTAGGGCTCGACTCTAGGTAGATGCGAGCGTAGCATAGCTTAGGCACTGGGTCGCAGGATTGTCGAGTGCTCAGCTCATTTTTCAAGAAATGCTCGTATGTCCTTGCCACGAATTCGGTCAAACAGCTGATTTCGTTTTCAGCTTCCGGCGCGCGTTCCTTTGTTTATACATATGCAAAAAAAAGGAGCAACGTCGGTTCATTGACCAAAAGCCGTGACTGGGGCGCCATTCTTATACAGCAGCCACCAACGCGTGCTTTATGTGTGTATGTGTGTGTGTGAATGGCCACAGCTGACTGTCAAACATATGTACTACGTGCATGGACATACTGACAGGGTAACCCGCAGTCCGTAACCCGTCCTACGCCTCGTCCATCAGCTGAGCCTTGCAAATTTTCAATGTCACCAATTGCGCGACGCCAACTTCTCTGCCTGCTGTCGCTGCTTATAAATCTTCGACACGGCACAGTAAAACACAAAAAAAAATACCCTTCGCACACACAGCCACACATTGTACATGCATATATACAAACACATACATACATATACATATCGAAAAACCAAAACCACCAAAGCGGCCGCATTGAAAATTGCTCTAAATTCGCCAAAAACAGCTGATTTCGCTTTTGTGCGGCGCTTCCTGCAGTGCCAATCGACAACGTCGACGTCGACAGCAACGACAACGACAACGACAACGGCGACGGCGACGGCGACTCCGCCATCGAGCATCCACATCGGACTCTCGCAGTCGTGTGGCGCACTTCGTGCGGCAACATGAAATGGCCGACGCAAAATATGCGCATATAACAAACTACCCAATGCCCGCTACCGCTCCACCCGCCTTGCAAGCGTATTAACCTTGCAACAGCCTCATCATCATCATCATCAACATCATCATTATCATTCTCATCAGCAACAACATCATCAAGACTGCGACGACAGCGACATCGACTGCGACTGCGGCGGCGACTGCGACTGCGATTGTTTTCGTATTTAGGCTAGTTCCATTTGAAAACTACAAAAAAGGCGGAAAAAACAAACCCTTTGCTTTCCCACAACGTCATGTGCCGCTATAAGCAAATAACTGCGTACCCAGACTACACGCCGCCCGCCCCCTCTGTTCGCTCTTTGTTCGTTGTGGGTGCACAGCCAAGTTTTCACCCAGAGTCGATGCCAACAACCAGCATGGGAAACATCAGCAACAACAGCAACAGCAACAACAACAACAGCAACGAGCAATCGTCGCACATATCAGCGCCGTCATCTTGAGCGCTACGCCCTCGCCCAGAGACCATCCACCATGGAGAGCATCTCCGCTAGCATAGCCCGTCTTCAATTCAATTCATTTTTATTATGATGAGCAGCCGCCATTCGCTGTAGCCGTCGCCAGTTCCAAGTTGAACTCGGGTCTCGGTCTCGAAAAGTTGGAGCTGGTTTTTATTATGTTGCTCCAATGTTGCTGTTGCTGTTGCTGTTGTTGCTGCTGCTTCTTCTCGTTGTCTTTTTCTTTTTCTGTCGGTTTCTTCTGCTTCTTCTTTCTCATCAGCGCTCGTTTTTATGTTTATAAAGTTTCTTCTTCCTCTTTGCGCTTTGTATATTTAAATTGCTTGTGAGATCGGCGGCTCTGAGCCGAGAGCTGGCCCGCAGTTTGGCTTTGTCGAAAGCTGAAACTTGGGTTTTTTTTTCTTTCAGTCGCCGTCGATGTTGTTGTTGTTGTTGCGTTTCGTTTCGTTTCGTATTTGCTGCTATCGCACGTTGTTTCAACTAAAGAATTCAAAGTGGCCACAAAACACAGCGCCGCAAACAGAGACATAGAGAGAGAAAGAAAGCGTGTGTGTGAGAGAGACAGAAACATAGCCAGAGCCAAAGCCCGAGTCAGAGCCAGAGTTGTGAGCTAGGCCCAGACCCCTGAACAGGCAGGCAGTCGAGCCAGCGACCGACTTTATTGCTGAAGTCGACTTTTGAGTTGGGCCAAGCAAGGCCAGCACAGTGGTACCAAAACTAATATTTCAGTTCTTAAGTACTTAATGAAAATAATTATAATAATAAATATAATTTAATGATAATCGAAATTTCTACTTGCTCATTAGCATTAGCTATAAGATAGTTGAAAATGAATGTTTTTCAATGCATTACTTAATAAATACTTTAACAGTATTTATAATTTTCCCCATGATTTTGCGCCACTGTGCATTGAAGCGGACGTTGCGACGTTTCAACTGTTGGCCTGGCTTCGAGACTCTGGGGCTCTCGGCTTGGCTTTGGCTTTCGGGCAAACATTTCGTGTTGCTGCTGCCGTTGTTGTTGTTGCTGACGATGACTGGCTCTCAGGTTGGTTGGTTGGACGGTCGTTGGGTCGTTCATTTGGTACGTTTGTTCGGCCGCCTGGTTGGCTCATAACCTGAAACTTGAATATTGTGGAATTTGAAGGTAGCGACGGACGGCGACAACGACGATGTTGTTGCTGTTGCTGTTGCTGTGCTGGCTGTTGTCGTTGCAGCAGCAACAGCAGCAGCAGCAGCAGCAGTAACAACTGCACCGCTGCGTGCGAGCTTTCGAGTCAGCCTCAGCCGTCAATTTGGAGCCAGTTGCCGTCTCCGCCATCGCCGCCGTCGCCGTCATCGTCATCGTCGTCGTCGCCAGCTGAAACGAGTTGCTGGCGAAGCGTAAAAAAGCAACGAACGCTTGACGGGGCTGCCTGACTGGCTTTTGTGAGTGCCCCGTTGTTGGTGTTGCTGTTGCTTTTGCTTTTGCTTTGGCTCTGGCTATAGCTGTAGCACTGGCTGACGGACCGACTGACTGGCTGGCTGATGTTGATGCTGATGCTGGTGTGGCAATAAAATTCAACTGCCAACAGTCGCAGTTGCAATCTCAGTGAACGCAGCTCAAATCATGTTGCTGCTCTCTTGGCTGTTTTGAAGATGACTTTCGGCCGTTGATTGTTGGCCAGCGATGTTGCTGTTGTTGCTGCTGTTGCTTATAATGATAGCAACGCTTTTTAACTCACACCAACTGCGGCAACAACAATTTCTCCGCACACTGTTGTAACAACTTTTTTCGAAGGCAAATTAGCGTAGAAAGTTATTTTTGTTTGTTGTTTTTGGGATTTTGATTTCCGTTTGCAGCTTTTCAGCTGAGCTTTTAATGCGAGAGCAGCAGCCGCAGCAGCAGCAGCAGCAGCAGCTTTTGAAAACCATTCAACTCGGCTTGCGCACGCGGCGTATGCGCAATGAGCTTTTCAAAAGCATTCCACATACGCCGTGTGGTCAGCGACAATAGCAAACAATGAGCAATGAGCAATAAGCGATGTAGATAAGCACCAGCAGTGACTCACACATACACACACGCACATACTCAACAGCTGACAAAGAACGAACAACAAACAGCGAACAGCGAACAGCGAATCGATGACAAAGATTATACATATGAGGAACTGCGATCAGCTCGGCATTTGCGAGTTCGCCTTAAGATGTGCCACAGTTGACGCAAGCTGCTCGATGTAGTTAGTCATAAGTCTAGACCGGCAGAGCCCCTATGCCGTAAATACAGCTGCAGACTGCGCGCGAGAGGGATGATGCGGCCGTCGCTGAGAAGCAGCCAAATGCAGACCCAAATGCAAAGAGCGAACCAGCTCGCAGACGGCAGGCAAACAACAACAGCAGACGGCGGCCAATCGGGGCTGGAAAAAACGGGCAAGGAAAATGTGAAACACATGCGACGACGACCTCGATGACGATAACAAAAAAAATATACATATGCACACACATACATACATATATAAAAACAAGAAACTGCAAACGAAAACGAAACGAAACGAAAACTCACCCCAATGCGTTTTGTTGCTGCGGCTGCGGCAGCGGCTCAGGCTCAGACTCGGGCTCGTGTTCCCCCTCTGAATGCAGAAATATATGAGCATATGGCAACCCTTATAAGCATGACAAAGACTCGTCCACGGCACGATACGAAACGTTCACACATCTGTGCTGTTAGCAAATTTCATGTGCTGCACTGCTGACAGAGTTGTTGAGTTGCTGTTGCAAGGGGATAGTGTTTCATAGACACTCAGCTAGGGTGGCAACACTGCTCAAAATATTCAAATTGAAATCGGCCAACAATATAATAGTACTGCAATATGAGCAGTTATAGAAGATACAAATTTTTATGAACTGAGCTGAGCTTAAAATTTAAACCAAAATCGTAGGCATTCAATAGTTTATACAATATTCAATATTCATACATAGAATACTTAAGTTATATTTCGACTTCTATTAAAACCTCATTCTATGCGTTATTAGAATCTATTAGCAAGAGTCTTAATCATCGTGCAGCTGATTAAAAGTCAATCTAATTGATAGGGCATCACATGAATTTAGAATAATTTTTTGTTCTTCCCATGGATCTAAAAGCCTGTTCACAAATGGAACGTAAATTTGAAATGAAACGAAATGGAACGGCCGCTCGTTTGCTATAGCATTGTTGTTCATTGTGGATTTTGAAAATCATGAAAACGCGGCCCCCAAAAATAGTTTCGAGAAACTCACGCAAAAGGCGGAAGTAATGAACGCAATGCAAAGACGACGACGACGACGCAGCTAAAGGCGAAGACATTGAAGCCATCAGCCTCAGCGGCTGCCAGTTCCAGTCTCAGTCCCACGCTGATGCCTCTGACCCTGCAGCGTTCCCCTCGCCGTTGCCGTTGTTTTATTTTAAGAAGATTTCGAGCAGCCACAGCCGCAGCAGCAACAGCAGCAGCAGCAGCAGCAGCACTGATGAGCAATGCCAGCCAGTTAGTGGCGAGGGTGGATGGCTGGCTAGCTGGCTGGCTGGCTGTGTGTCTGTCTCTTCGTTTTCATTATGGTGCAGTGTTGGTGGTGTTGGTGGTGCTGGTGGTGGCTGCGATGAGCTCGACTGGGCATGTTGGGTGTGAGTTCTTCTTCTTGCTGTTGTCGCTCGTTCGGCTGCCGCCTGACTTCCATTTTCTTGATAAGTTTTTTGTGCCCTTTGTCGTTGTCCTGGGCCCTAGGCACGTAGACAGGCGCCTGACATTGGCTGCGAATCGCAAAACAGAGCTGGGTGGCTATGGGTGGGTTTGGGTGGCCCAATCATTGGCTGCTGCTGCTACAGCTGCTTCTTTGTGCAGTGGTTCACAATTTATGAGACAGCATTCAGATGCTTGTTATGGGCAGATACTTGTCTGCGAGCAATGAGCTATATTGGACAGTAAGGAGGTTATATTTAACGATCTATATATGTATATCTATATCATAGTTGAGTTAGCATAATGAATTATTATTCACTCTCTGCATTTATATGCCAACTAGATTACAGGGTATTTTCAAGTCATGCCTTGCAGCTTTTCGCACTGCTAGATCCTTTTGGCGGCAAACTTTAATCGAGATAATTTCACTTTTCTGCTTGCAGGTTAATTCAGCAATGGGTCTTCAAGCAACAGCCGCTACCAAGCGGAAGCATGAGCTGACCTTTGACAGCAAGGATGCGAATACCACGTACACGGGCTGTGCGCCTCCCCCGGTGAAGGCCAACAAATGGGCCATCAACAACAACAACTACCTGGAATCGCTCGAGGAGCAGCAACCGCTTCAGCAACAACAGCAGCAACAGCAGCAAAAGACGCCCACGGAACAGCTAACGGAATCCAACAACAATAATGTGGAGCCCGCAAAGCCAGCGCATAGTATTATTAGCAACGGTGACGAAGTTACTAACAACAACGGCAGCAGCAGCAACAACAATAACAACACCACCAGCACTACCACCACCACCACCACCAACGGCAGCAGCAGCAATGTCAAGAGTCCCGCGGAGGTGCCGCTGCCACCAACAGCGAGCGCTGCGATACCCGAGGACAACATCGCCAAGCTGGAGGTGGTGGCCGCAGTGCCCTGCGAGCCCTGGTCAACGGCGGCGTCGCCTGTGGCGGCGGTCAACAGCGAGCCCGTCGACTGCATATCCAAGCTGCAGGCGGTAGCCGTGCCGAGCGATCCCTGGGGCAGCATTGCCACGCGCTCGACGCTCGCCACCACGCTGCTGAGCGCGGACGAGCTGGACGACGATGATGATGATTTTGAAGACGATTACGAGGAGGAGGAGAGTATCATACCCACCTACTGTCCCATTCGCTATCATCCTTTTGCCCAGCAACAACAGCAGCAACAGCAACAGCAGCAGCAACAACAGCAACAACAGCAACAGCAACAACAGCAGCAACAGCAGCAGCAACAGGCAGCCGCAGCTGCGGCAGCGGCAGCGCAACAGCAGCGCAGCTATCCTCCCGGCTATGGCAGCCGACCCTCCTACTACTCGGAGCCGTTCCCGCAGCAGAATTGCTCGCGCACCGGCAGCCCGCAGCATATGACGCCACGAGGATTTGCACCGCCGCAGTGGACCACGACAGGCGCTGCAGCTGGCGCTGGTTCAGCGGGAGCGGCGAGCAGTGCCGCGGCCACGCCCAGCTCTGCGCAGCAGCAGCAGTTCTATGAGAATGGCGGCGGCGTTGGCGTCGTCTATGCGCAGCCAGCGCCACAGCAAACCATTCGCTGTGCCGAGAATGGCAAATCGTACATGGATCTGGGCTGCAGCAGTGCAACGACGACGACGCCAACCACCGCGCTGCCCACCAGCAATGGAGTCGCCGCTCCGGCTCCGTTTGTGGCCGGTGGCCTGCCACTGCCGCTGCACGGGCTGCCGCTGAAGCGCTGTTGCGACGGACGTGGCGGCTGGTGCAGCGCCAATCGCAGTTGCTACAAGGACACGCGACTGAAGATTCGCAATCTGTCCATGTTCAAGCTCTCACGCTTTCGCCAGGTGTCGGAGCAGTCACTCTATCGCTCGGTGCTCATCTGCAATACGCTAAAGCGCATCGATCGAGAGATCGAGACGGAGGCCAAGGAGCTGCACCATGCGGCGCAGCAGCATCACCAGCAGGCAGCAGCCGCAGCAGCTGCTGCCGCCGCTCAGGCGGCGCAATATCATCCGGCCTATCAACAGCAGCAGCAGCAACAACAACAGCAGCAGCAACAACAGCAGCAGCAGCAACAACAACAGCAGCAATCTCCACCAGCACCGCTGCACCATCAAGACTATGCGCCTGTGCTGAATTGCGCTCGGCTGGCCAACATGGATCACTATCAGCAGCTGGCGCAGGCGCCCAGCTTCCAGCCGCAAGCGCCGCTCGGCTATCACGAGCGGCTGGAGGCGCCGCCGCCGCCGTACAGGGCTGCAGCAGCTGCAGTTACTCCCAGTGGCTTTCCAGTGGCACAGCCCGGGCATGTGGCAGCCGCCTCGGCGACCAGCAATTGTGATACGTCCTGCAGCACAACGCTGCATCCGTACGATCACTATCCCTTCCGGGAATCGCAGTCAGGCCGTGCCACGCCTTTCCCCACCTGTCAAACGACAGCGACGCCAGTGGCAGTAACCGCAGCTACAGCAGCCGCCCCTGCACCACCCGCTGCCAATGCGGTGAGCAGTGCCAGCGTCATCCCTGCCATCGTCAGCTCGAGCAGCAGTAGCAACAGCAGCAGCAGCACTAGCAGCAGTAGCAGCGTAACCGCCCCAGCTACAGCTGGCCAGGCCGCAGTCTGCTCCAGCGCCTCCTCCACCACCAGCAACAGCAGCAGCAGCAGTGGCAGTGGCAGCAGCCTCAGCAGCTCCGCGTCGAGTGCGGTCAGCGCATGCGACTCGAGCGACTCGGGCTATGCGGATGACGATTCGACGCGCTCCATTAACTGGAGCTCGGTGCTCAGCCTCAGCTCGCAGTCGGCGCTGGATCCGCTCAACAACAACGATCTGTTCAACATACTGCCGGCGGCTGCCACACCCACAGCGGTGCCCGTGTGCATAGCGAGCAGTGGCTCCACCCTCGCATTCAGTGGCAGCTTCACCACGGTACAGGCGAGCGCCAGCCAGAGCAGCAGTCACTCCTCCGCCTCAGCTTCGTCCACAACGGCTACGTTCACAACTCTGTCGACCATTTCATCTGCAACGCATTCGCTGACGTCGTCCTATGTGAGCAGCATCAGCTCGAATGTGTCGGCAGGTGCGAATACGTGGGAGTACGGATTCCTGGACATGGAGTTCGGTCTTGGATCGGAGTTCACCGAGCTGGTGCCCAGCTGCAAGCTCAGCTCTGATGATCTATTCAAGAACGGCCTAAGTGCAACCGTCGCCAGCTCAAACGAGCTGGAACAGCCTGCTCACATTATGGTCGGCAGTTAGTATCAGTTGTAGGTGTTCGATTGCGCCGGAGACGTCGGCTGTGGCAGCCGTTGGGCTTAGCGTGCTGGTCACGCCCATCCAAATGGCGCCACAGCCCAATTCCAAGCAGTATTCAATATGTGTAATTGTTGTAGCAAAAAAATGAAACAGAAACACTGTTAAAGTAATTTCGAATTATGCTCAGGTTGTGAACGTGCATGTTGCCCCGTCCCTCACCCAATACTTCCCCTAATTCAACCACCCCCACCCAATAAAAAGCGGCCCAATCCCGCTTTACCCAAAAGCCCAGCCAACAAGCAATCGCCGCCAGGGGGCGCTAGCAAATATTGCAATTGTATTGAAAATGAGAAGGAGAACTAAGAGAAGAAAATGGTATGACAAATGAAAACTATTAGCAAATTTTTTTTAAGTGTATATATTGTAAAATGTCAGATGTAATGAAGAGAACAACTTCTAGGATCTAAGTTAAAAGCAAAAACAATTATATATACATATATAGTATATATATGATAAATATATCTATATTAGCGCGTATGACATGTAACTTTAGCTTTGTTAGTTGCAATTGTTGCAGTTTTTCGATTATACACTCTCACACACAGATACACTTGCACTCACACTAACACACCAACACACCATAAGTAATTGGAAGAATAGCAATTTTGCAGAAAAAAACACAGCAAGTAAAATTTTGGTAGACAAGAACAACAAAAACATAAAACAACAACAAGCAAAATCGAAAAACGTTTACTATATTGTAGCCATAAGTATTATTATTTATATACAAATGCAAACAAAACAAAAAGATAAATCTTAAAACAAAGTTTTACAAAAAAAAGAAAAAAAAAAGATAAAAAAATACAAAAAAAAATATTTGAAAAACAAAACAAAAAATACAAGCAAATATAAAAAATTTGTTAAAAAAAATTACAGTCTTTAATTGTTTGGGCTTTTATTGGAGTTTCAAAAGACTGCGCAGCTTTCTGGAAGTTCTGTTCACCATTAATATCTATTCGTTGCCTTGCTAAGTTCAAGCCATAATATTGCGCCACCTATAGTTTCATTCAAGTTTTATGAACTATGATTGATGTCTTAGCTTATTAAATGCGACTATTTGGCGCCATCTAAAGTAAAACATATAATTCATATTGGCGTACAGTAGATGTTCGGAACCTGCTTCAGCTTAACGATAAGATTTAAATATTATGGTTGATGTATTTGCTAAGCAGAAGTTATATCACTGCGCCCTCTACTGTTAGATATTTTTGGTTTGTAGCTTCGTTAAAATTCGACGATGAAATTGCTCCAACTACAGTTGATTAATTACACTTAAAATTAGGTTTTTGCCTTTGTTGTGTGGTTTTTCTCCGAAAAATAGTTAAGTTTCGCTTTAACAATGAAAGCTCTTGGTATGGATCTTAGCTCATCAAAGCAAGGTTTTTGTATTTGGCTATTCAGCAATTTCGTATACAGACGTTTGCATAAGATAGTCAAAGTATATAATCTGTGTTATTTAACAGTAGCAAAGCAACAGGTAGTAATTTCTAAACTTTTGATTAATTTTTGTCATGTTAAAGTTTCAGTAAATATTGAACACTAATAAATGCATTGAATTAATATACACAGTATTTTTAGCAACATGGAAAGGGTCTTTCATACAGAAAATATGAATTTCAAATCAAATTCTTTTAACATAGTAATTGAATGCCAATTACATTTACAAAACAGCTGATTTTCGTAATGTTAAACTCAAAATGAACTGTTCAACAATCAAGTTGGCATCGCCATTTACATTTCTGTTCAGTTAGCAGCTTGGTCACCTGTTGAGCACCTGTTATTAGTTTGTCTTCTTCTTTGGTCGCGTGCGGGTGTGTCGCGGCCGTCGATTTAAATTGCGTCGGCGGCATTGTTTATAAAATCAGTTCACCGAACAGCACTCGCGCGTTTGTGTTTGTGTTAAAGTTCTTCAGCGTGTTGTTTATATGTGAGTTTTGAAATGCCGCCAAGTAATAGCTAATGCATATTGAGAACAACGGAAAAAAGCAAAAATATAAGAAAACAGAAAATAATTTTTTCTTGTTAAGAAAAAGAAGTTAGCAAGTCGAAGAGTTCCGTGGCGACGAACGCGGCAAACAGCAACAGCAGCAGCAGCACAGCAGGCGGTGGCGTAGGCTGTAAAAATAGTTGTCTGTCTGGTTTTTGTTTGTGCATGAGGCTGCGTATCCGTTTGCATGTGTGTGCGAGTGTGCAGCAACAATTTAATTGTGAACTAAAACAGTTCAATTACAAGCAATTACAAATATGTAATTTACTTGAAATTGCATTTGCGCCTGGGGCTGCAATTAAATATTTCAGTTGCCAATGCAATTGGCATTAAATAAATAAATAGTCAAAAGATAGGAAAATACAAATATAAACACATGCAACAAACAAATGGCAATCGCAACAATTACAAAAAATATGTGGGGAAGGGGAGAATTTGAGTGACGGGCCTCAACTTGGGAGCATAAATGGCGTAATCATAATCTTTGTGCCCTCTTTCTAATGATTCAATTAAAAGCGCAAATTGCAGGCCAGAAATTCAATTTAGCCAATGTGCGGTTGCCGACGCGTCGCGACGTCGACGTTGACATTGAGGTAGCAGAGGCCAACGCGTCGCTGCCCGTTGCTTTCTGGTTGCTGGCTGCTGCTTGCAGCAATATGTACGTGCGTCGCGTGCCTTTTATTTTGTTCGTGTTTCGCGCTATGCCGCGAAACGTCACATAAAAAATGTATTTATTCTTGCTGAATATTTATTCATTTTTATTAATTTGAAAGAAAAAAGCAAAAAAGAGAAGAAAAACAATGTTTCGGAATAAAACCTGTTTTATATGTGAATAAGTGAAAAAATTACAAAGTGTAATTGTTTGAGATATTTGCGGTGTGGTTTCTGTGTTTGCATGGCTGTGTGTGTATATGTATATTAGTGTGTGTGTGTGAGTGTTTTTGCCCTTCAGTCAAAGTAACGGTAGTTTATTGCAGCGAAAGAAAGAGCTAAACGAACGTAGGGAGAGGCGCAGAGACAACGAACGAGTGCCGTCACATTTTTTGCTCAGCAAAACAGAAACAACAATTGACGCCGGCATTGGCTTGAAAACAAACACAAAAAAAAAAGCGCAACAGCGGCCACATTCCAAGCTACAGCGAGTGGCCCCCAAAGCTCAGGTCAGCCGCCCAGCGGCTCTCTCACTCGCACAGCAGCTGCACCAGCATCAGCCTGAGTGGGTAAGTCAACTACATCAACGCCAATTTTCTGCTGCTGCCACGTCTTCTTCTCTTGAGTTGCTCGCCCCTGCCGCCCTTTGGTTTCAGTCTTTCATGTTATTATTTCTGTGCTGTGTTCTGCTGTTACGCCTGCCGACGCGTCGGCCGATGTGAAGAGATTTTTGCGTAGAAATTACATATTGTTTTATATCCACATCGTTCCCATGTATTAGATTTCTTACTGTTCATTTCATACCCTGTTCGCATTGCGTGTACCTAGAATGAATTAATTATATGTGCAGGTAAATTGCATATATATATGTACTATAATTAACCGTTTACACTTCTAAATATGCCTTTTATGAATCTATACATAAATTAGAATGTTAAAAATAGGGTATCTGTTAGTCGCAAATCTTTCCCAAACTTATTGAAGTTTTTTCCGTTCGTTTTTTATGGGTCTTCTTCTCCTACTTGCCGCTAAAGTAGCGAATCTACCAATAGGCTGCCAGTTTCAGATCATCAAAGAAACAGCAACGAGAAAAAAAAAACATATTCCATCCAACTGACTTAATTATGTTAATTAAGAATCGCTATTGCCTCTAATGTAATGTGCAGAGAGTGTTTTGTGAGGTAAATAGGCTATGGGGTTATGGGACTTTTGGGGGTACGTGAATTGGTAGCAAATTCTTGTTGTTGCTAAGGCAATTTGCACATCAGGTGCGAATGGAATATGAAGTGAGTGCACACAAAAAACTGGGTGAATTTCAAGACTAAAATAAATTGATTTCACGCTTGTGTCATGGACTAAAGTTAAAAATAAAATTTAAACTTGAAACAACAAAGATATTTAAGTTCCTTTACATCTGGAAGACACAAAACTATATATTATAACAATATATCTTGAGAGCTCCTTTCATATATATGTGCATAAATGTGTCTATAACTTGATATATGTGTATGTATATAAGTGTAAGTATGTAAAAGATTTTGTTAGATTGTGATTGTTAATTCTGAAATCACTTCATAATTGAACCAAGGCCTTTTTTATTTATTTTTTATTTTTATTTTCAATTTAAGCGCTCATTTAATTATTTTTATTTCTGATGATCTTTTAATAATCAATTAACGAAAAAAACTTGAAACATAGTGAGAGAGAGAGAGAGAGAGCAAGATGAAGAGAGTGGAAGAAAAAGAGAGCGTATGATCTATGGCATTGAACTTCGTTACTCTGTTGACCTTTCAATCATTTCGTAAGTTTATTGCTGCCATAATGATGAGAGACAAACACATAAAATAATATTATTTTGAAATTGAATGGAAACAATTGATTGTGGGAAATGTGAATAAGTATTAAAACTGAAACTTATAAAAATTGATCTATGCACCGAAAATTTCTGCCTTAAGCTAAAAATTACAATTATAATGAATAATATGATTAAATTTCTTCAAGTATATAATATTTAGTTTACTTAGTATATTTTGTTTAGAGGCAAACTTGATCCCCATTTAATTTTACGTAGCGCCAAACGAGATTTTTGTTTTTATAAATATTTACTGTTTAATTACATTTTTAACACTAAACACTTACTGTCCACTCGCAATTATCTCCTCTGCTCTCCTTATTTATAGTTTATGTAACCATTAGATCGAAACATTCAGTTATAAAAGCACTGAATCCACTATTTTTATAAAATTTATTGCGAAACTACAATAGATGCATATCTCGTACTCTTACCCTACAGCCACCTCACTGGGTTCAGCCTCGTTCACTAGAGAATTTCGTAATTTTCCAAATCACAACAAACAATGGGAAAAATGCGAACGGCGTGAAGCACAGAGGAAAAAAACAAAAAACAAGAAAAGACCAAAACAGACGGCGGCGGCGGCTTTTTGGGAAACGCCTTCTTAACAATAGAAAATCTCTGAAAGTCGTCGACGGAACTGCGTCCAAATGGCGTGCTGCACAGTTGTTGTAGTTGTTGTTTGCGTCGTTGTTGTTGGTGCTTGCCGGAAGATATTTTCGACTGGCTTGCAGCGACGCGGGCTATTGTATATACACAAGCTCATGCGAGGTTAGCCGGGGCCGAGATAGCTGGACAGTGGTTCCGAACGTGCCTCCGTGTTTGGATAGAAACAAGTTTTATAGTTTTTACGCTGACGTTGACGCTGACCAGCCAGTCAGTACATCGAGCACAAATACATCCGCACAGCTGTTGTTGTAGTTCTTTTGCCGGGACGGGCCTAAGCTGCGCCCAGCTAAAAACCAGTCCAGTTTAGGCTCCAGTCCCACACACCCAGCCAATAGTCCAGTACATTTAATGCCCTGGCCCCTACTGTAGTTTGGAACTAGTTGCGGTGTATCAAATCAAGTCTGACCACGAAACGACCCTAGCAGACACTCGCCCCACCCCCTCTGCACAGCTTGTCGCACTTTTCGGGGCTACTTTTGCACAGTTTGGAAATTAACTGGTTGTTTTGCTTGTCAGCTGCTGCTGCTGCTGCTGCCGGAGCTTGTGCATGTGGAGTCTTTGCTGTCTGAACTGCTCCGTTCCAGCACCTCGGCCACCTTAGCCGCCATTCATTTTGTATTGTTCGATGGCGCCGCGCAGACAACTTTATGTTACAGGCCGAAAATGCGCTCAAAAGTTTTCGGCTGCCCCGTCTGGGATTGCCTCAAAGTTCTGGCCCAAGCCGGGCGGCTACGCTGGATTACATTTGGCCGCCAGAAGCCACCCAGAAAGTCTGCCACCAGGCAGCCAGTCAGCCACCCAGCCAGGGAGCAAGTCTACCACTTAGCCACGGCAGGAAGAAAGCGAGGAAGGAAGTTGATTTTGTACAACTTAACGCTTTTCTTTGCGCCAGGCGTGTGTCTGGCCCCATGCCCCAAAATGAAAATGCGCCAGCAAACGGGTACAAGAAAAATAGATTTAGAGCGAGGCTAACTGCTTGAATTGAAAAGCGATTTTGTCTTTGGATAGTGGCTGAAATATCCATAATATTATAAACAGGTTTTCCCTTGAAAGTACACAAAGGGGCGAGGTTATGCTTTTTTGTTTATGTAATTAGCAGCCTTTTGAGAGGATTATTGTAGACCTGAATTGCATTCAGAGTTTTGTTTATTATAATTATTAGCAAAATTAAAGTCAACTCAGCTTTAATAAAATAAATTTCTGTACCGAATTGGGAGCCTATTAAATTCCGGCCACAAATTATTTTTCTGAAAACTGTATTGAAATTAATATATGACTTCATGAAGTAGTCGATAAACCAAGGGGTTCGCATGTCCAGGAGTATACTTTTACAATAATTTCTGGATTATTCAATATGCATTGCATAAGAATTTAAAATACGTTATTTATATAGAATGTAAATGCACATATACAATTATTGTAATTAATATCCTTTAAATAAGCGTCTGTATTAAATGCATATTAAATGCGATTTACATTGAACAGGTGCACTACTTTCTGTTTGCCTCATCTATCAATTAAAAGCACTCACGGCGCACACACCTCATCTAAACTCTGGACACAAGCTACAGAGATATTCACTTTTGTGTGCGGATTTTTTTTTTTTTTGTGGGTGTCCACAATTTTGCAATTGTTTTGAAAGATATTTGCCATCTGCCTGGATCCACTGTTTAATGGCCAAATGCGAGTCCGGGTAGAGTGGGTGGGGTATGTAGGCGAGAGGTGTGCGGCGCAAATGGCCGCCAGTGCATCAGCTGCTCACACTAAATTTTTAATCAAGCGTCTAGCAGCCCGTATCTGTATCCGTATCCAGCAAGCAGCTCCCAGCAGCTGTGAATCCGTCTGTGGAGTCTTTGTTGCCGCTGCTGCTGCTGCTGTTGCGAGCGCAAAAAATGCAATCAACGTCAAATGCGCTTCGAAACTTTGCGCAAAATAATAGAAAAGCCATTAATTTCACTTCTCGTCGAAGAAGATGCAAGAAGAAAGACGCAACGTGGGCGCACAGCTGGAGGAGCAGCGCGTTGTCTTTTCGAAAGGACCCAGCCACGGTCCAGCACAAGGGAGAGCGTGTACCCAAGTAATTTTTAATTATGCGCATAACGTGCGGAAAGCTTGGTGCCAACAATAATAATGTGATTATTGGCATCACATTCTGCACGAAAAGGCAATGCCAATTATCATTATGCAACTTTATCAAAGGACGCTGCATTCATGTTGCTTTAAGTAACGAAAAAAAAAAAATATAATAATAAATAAATAGTAACATTGTAAAGCAATGGCGAACAGCAGTAGTTGAAGGGCTATTTAAACTCGATTATAACATACCTTGTACATAATTATGGAATTTAAATTTTAGTTAAATGCTTTAAGTAACTAGTAGTTATGCTTCGCAGAAAACAAATATCGAAGTTTAAGAATGTCTAATATTTTGCAATTCTATACAGTTTTCAAAGTGAAGCTTAGACTATCTAGTATTTTCAGTACATATTTACAACTACTATTTGCATATTGAAGCTTAACTAAAGTAACTATCTGTAATGTATTGAAAGTTCTGGTTTGAAAATGTTTCAGCTTTAACTAATCCTCTTTTAGCTTTTGCGCTTTCGTAAATTTTGTTTTTCAATATAAAAATGTCGAATTTGTTTTTCGCTGGTTATTCACAATGAAGTTTTTTCACTAGAGCAAAGGGCAAGTGTAAAACGCTCCATTATCGTCGTGCTTACGCCCGAAAATTGCAAAAGTTCGTTGGCGTCCTAAAACCACTTTTCATTAGTAACAACCGCTAATTTCACTTAGTGGCATGCCAACATGTCGCATCAGTAGGGAGCCACACGTTCCCATCCATATGGGAACAACAAGTTTTTAACTTAATTTTCTGTTGACAAATTAAAAAGCCGCAAAGCTACAAACATATTGAAGTAAATATCCCCTAACAAAATGCAAATAATATAACCTGTGCAACTTGATATAATTCTAATGGATGTCAGTCATAAATTGAATGCTGTGTCAACTGGTGCATTGTCTGTAATCGAGAATGGAACATAGTAA